ATGGCATTCTTGTACACCAATGATACTTACAGAAAGAGAAACTGAAAAACAATCCCATTTACCATGGTGGCAAAAAAATTAAGATACCTAGGAGTAAACTTAACCAAAGTAGTAAAGGACCTATTTGCAGAAAACTACAGGACATTGAAAAAAGAAATAGAGGAAGATATAAAAAAGTGGAAGCACATACCTTGTTCATGGATTGGAAGAATTAACATCATTAAAATGTCCATATTATCCAAAGCAATGTATAGATTCAATGCAATCACCATCAAAATACCAACAACATATTTCACAGAACTAGAACAAATAGTTCAAAAGTTCATATGGAACCAAAAAGACCTCGAATAGCCACAGCAATCTTGAAAAAGGACAAAGTAGGTGGGATCACAATACTGGATATTAGGTTATACTATAAAGCGACTGTAATCAAAACAGCCTGGTACTGGCACAAGAACAGGCATATAGACCAGTGGAAGAGAACAGAGAACCCAGAAATGGACCCAAGGCAATATGTTCAATTAATATTTGACAAAGGTGGCAAGAGCATACAGTGGAGTAAAGACAGCCTCTTTAATAAATGGTGTTGGGAAACTCGGACTGCTACATGCAAAAAAATGAAACTAGACCATCAACTTACACCATACACAAGAATAAACTCAAAATGGATAAAAGACTTAAATGTGACCTGTGAATCCATAAAAATCCTAGAAGAAACTGTAGGCAACAAATTTCGGACATCATACGCAGCAGAATTTTCACTGATACATCACCTAAGGCAACAGAAACACATGGGACTACATCAAACTAAAGAGCTTCTGCACAGCAAAAGAAACAACCATCAAAATGGAAAGGCAACCTACTCTATGGGAGAGCATCATTGCCAATAATACATCAAATAAGGGGTTAATTTCCAAAATATATAGAGTGCTCATACAATTCAACAAAAGGAAGACAAAGAACCCAATTTAAAAATGGCCAGAGGAGCTGAATAGACACCTCTCCAAACAGGACATACAAATGGCCAAGAGACATATGAAGAAATGCTCAATGTCACTAATCATCAGAGAGATGCAAATTAAAACAACAATGAGGTATCACCTCACACCTGTCAGAATGGCCGCCATCAACAAATCATCAAACAAGTGTTGGCCAGGGTGTGGAGAAAAGGGGACTCTAGTACACTGCTGGTGGGGATGCAGACTGATGCAGGCACTACGGAAAACAATATGGTGTTACCTCAAAAAAGTAAAAATTGAATTGCCATTCAACCCAGTGATCCCACTTCTAGGAATATACCCTAAGAAATCTGAGACATCAATCAGAAAGAATTTATGTACCCCCATGTTCATAGCAGCGCTATTTACAATAGCTAAGATCTGGAAACAGGCCAAGTGTCCATCAGTAGATGAATGGATCAAAAAGCTGTGGTACATATACACAATGGAGTACTATGTAGCTGTAAGAAAGAAAGATCTCTTTTCCTTTGAGATGACATGGAGCGACCTGGAAAGTATTATCCTAATCGAAACAAGCCAAGCAGAAAAAGACAATTACCACATGATCCTTATGAATATAATGATCATAACAGTCTGAGGAATAGGGTAGACCCAGAGACATGAAAGTAGGGTAGAGACTGACAACTCGCAGAAGAGGGGTTGGTGGGGGAGGGAAGAGATAAACCACAGAACTTATATGCATGTACGCATAACCAATGGACATGGACAACAAATCCAGGGATGGGGTGGGAGGGATGGGAGGAGGGTGTCAATGGGGTAAAAAAGGAGAAACATCTGTAACAAAAATAAAATTAAATAAATAAATAAATAAATAAATAAAAATAAAATCACTTGAGCTAGATTCTATGCTAAATGTAAAGGGTAAGAAAAGATGAAACAATGCTCTGGAGAATTGCAAGTAAAAGTATGATATGGCATGTAATAACAAGAAAGGTCATTTTTAACATGAAAATTTGTTCTTTCTACAAGAGTTCTATAAACACCAGAGGGAAAGTTTTATCCATTCCTATTATTTCCTGATCTTTTATCTGAGAGTGTGAATGAATGAAACGGAATTAATGGAATGGTTTTTAGATCTCTGAGCTAACTGGTATAAAAACTCTAAATTCTATTTTCTTTACTTGTTTTTATTTCAAAGTGTAGTAGTACCTTTTTAGCTATCCTGTCTTTCATTAGCAGGGGAAGAACAATATGTACAAAAGGGAAGAAATCTACCCTGGTATAATAAGTCAGGAAAGAAAGTCTGGTCAGCCAGGCTGGTGCTGGGCCAGTGACTCCGGTACTGTGCAAATGTCCCAGCCTCCTCTGACCAATTCATGCCTTCCTCTACCCTCTGTTTCCCCTGCAATGAGGACTGCAGAGAAAATTCAGGTTTATTTCTCCGTCTTACTCACTAAAAAACTGAGGCAACAAATGGTCTAAGAAGCAGAGACCTTAGACTCTCACAAATCACAAACTTCTTAATAATAATACAAGGTAAAGAACAAACTCCTGTCTGTGTGCGTGTGTGTTTTTTCCTTGAAATGCTTTCCCTCAGGTTTCTTTCTTCCCAAAGAAGGTTCATTTAAATCCAGGTTATTTAAATGAGCAGCCTTTTTCTCTCACTTCATCCTGTTGAAAGTACATGCCTTCCGGGTTCAAGAGAGACCCAAAGGGCAGGCTCTGCACAGAGCTGTGAAGTCAGCAATATTGCACTTTTCGGACCCTCATCTTGCAAGCAGATCTTGCATCCTCATGTCACTGGGGATAAAAACTCTGGATGGTAGGGGGATAGTTTTCATCTTGTCTCTGCCAACCTGCTCCCTACCCCCCACTCCACCCTGGGGGGTGTTCTAGAACACATCCTTAGCTTCTCTGGGTCAAATTCCATTCATAGGTAAAGCAACAGGATTGGGTTAGATTTCTGAGTTCTCTTGCATGTCTAAATGCTCTGCTGAGGTGTGACTGAACAATGAACCTTCACAAGGGGGTAGGACACTTTTCACATTCCAGCCTGGCATCAATTCCCTAAGCCAAGATGCCAATGGCCCCCATGCCAGCTTCCATGCTCCCTAAGTTCTCCAGGTTTCCCTTTGCCCACTTCATTCATTACATTGAGTCTGGACCCCAGGCATTTGATTTTATGTTCAGAAACTCTATTGTATCCCTTCTCCTAAGAAATAAGTTTTTGGTGTTAACAACATCACCTTTTCATGTTTCTTTCCAGAAACTATTCCTGGGACCTCCTCTCTCTTATTTGTGCTGTTACTTAAGTTTCCCCCCTAATCATTCTCCCTCCTAGGACAAAATGCAATAACATCAGCTAGCTCTGGCCATTCTGTTTCCCATGACCTGAAAGTCAGCGAATTGGGTTGAAGGGAATGGTGTGGGACAAAGTGAATGACTGCTATTTTCATTGTAAGAAAACCTGACATGTGTGGCCAGGGTCCACAGAGGTTTGTCTGTCTTTGTTTTTACACTCATCTCCCAGGCAAGATGAGAAAACCGAGGCTCAGGTAGGTTAGGCAGTTCAATCTGGACTTCAGTAATCACCCCTTCGCAAGGTGTTATCTAAGTCAAAACCAGAGCCTTCCGTATATAAGGGAATTCTCCTCCTGGTAATGGATGGCCCCAGCCCCGTTGGAAAGGGTAATAGATGATATGGTGCCCCTTCCCAGAAATACGTGCAAACACAGGAAACCAAAAGGTTCATAGTCCTTGCAGTGGTTCTCAACCTGTGGGTCGCGACCCCTTTGGGGGTCGAACGACCCTTTCACAGGGGTCGCCTTAGACACAACAGTAGCAAAATTACAGTTATGAAGTAGCAATGAAAATAATTTTATGGTTGGGGGTCACCACAACATGAGGAACTGTATTAAAGGGTCGCAGCATTAGGAAGGTTGAGAACCACTGCTCTAGAGGGTTCCCACACCAGGTGAGCCCCTGGTACCTAGGGACTGTGCCGTGGGCTGCAGTGACTCTCTGTGGGGATACGGCACACATCCACCACAGCGCCCATGCCCGTTCCCCTTCAGCCACAGGTAGGAGTGTACTGCCAGTGCAGTCCCCCTGCAGGACAGACAGAAGTGCGTAGATGCAGCCCCTCTCCCTCAGCGCGCTGTGTGCACCGCGGGGGCGCCCTCCTTTCCCAGGAGCTGTCACAAAGGACAGCACTTGGCATCCTCACTCTTCACTGCGAAGGAGCACCAACTCCACGGAGTTCTGGTGCCCGTTTCTCTGGGATCACTGCCAGCAGAGTGTACAGCTGCGGCCAGAAGGGCGCCCGGAGGCCCCCGGAGCCTGGGAGACCAGGGGCGACTCGCATTTATCTGTAGACCCCAGGTTGCCCCCACATGCACGTGGGTCGTGGGAGGGTCGGCACGGGCACGCGGGGTGCGGCAGGGGCGCCGCGACCTCGGGGCACTGTCGTGTACGCACGGAGAGGGCGCCCGGCCAGTGGTGCTAAGCTCCACCGCCTTGGTGGCTCCCGGCCCGGCCCGGCCCGGGGCCCGGGCAGTGCCCTCCCTCCGCCTGGCCGGCTTGGCCCCGCACAGCTCGGGGCGGCGAGAGCTGGAGCAGCGCCCCCACCGCCCGCTTTTCCGCCTCCATCTTCTCCGCCGCCTCCTCCTCCTTCCCCCAGCAACCCGCGCAGTCGTAACCGGTTTGGACTGGCCGGGGTGCCCCGCAAAGAAGAGAGGGGTGTGTGTGGTGGTGGGGGGAACACAGGGAATAACTTCCCGGGGAGGAGGAGAAAGAGAAGGTGGAGCCCGGAGGAGGGGGCCGGCTTCCTCTCTCCATGTGGCCGCCGCCGCTGCGGACCTCGGCGGGGGCAGAGGGCGGCGGCTCCCGGGGCAGCGCGTAGCGGGACCGATTGCCCAATACTCCGGCCGGGGCCGGGGCCGGGGCTGGGACCGGGCCCCCGGATAAATAGCCGCCCGGCAGGCCCGGAGCTGCAGGGGACGGCGGCGGCCGAGGTCCCCACTGCACCACCCGCCCGGCCCACCCGGGGCACCGTGCCCTGTGCTGCGCCCCGGAGTCCCCCACCGAGGCCGGTGCACAGGTAAAGGGCTGGCGCTCGCGGGAGGGTCCCAAGTGCCGGCAGCCCCCGTGCTGTCGAGCCTCCAGGAGGCCAGAAGAAACTCCTCCGACTCGGAGCTGGAGGAGAAGGCGGCGGCGACGCTGTCACCCGCAGCCAAACGGCTTGGAAGCGGTCTCTCGTTTGGGGTGTGTGTCGGGGTGCTGAGAGTGGACCCGGTGCGCTCACGCCCACCCTTTGACCACCCTTTTTGTTAGGGTGCGTCTCTGCGGTGGGCAAGTTTCCCCAGGAATCTGAGGGCGGCATTTTGAACAGAGTTGGAAGAGAGAGCGAGAGAGAAATGGAAGGAAGACCTGTCCTTGGATTGGGTTCGCGGCGGCGAACTGTCCCGGACCCCCGGGACAGCATCTGGGGCTGCTGGCGGCAGAGCTGGGGTGGGGGTGGGGACGACTCAGGCGGGCCCCCGTTTCCCAGAGGGCGTCGAGGCCTCCAAGTGCCTTGGTTGGGAGTTGGTGCCCACAGGTGCCCCGGGTTCTCATGGGCGGTGAGGCAGGCAGCGCGCGGGGCGGGCGGATATTGCCCCGCCACGCCACATTCAGCACCACCAGGTCAGCCGGGGCGAACACGGGAGACCGCTAGGGAAGACACAGGCACCTGGACGCCGAGCAGGGCCCTGCCGGGACTTGGTGCTGAACACTCCATCTGTGGCTCTCTAGGTAACCTGCTCTGGCTTCAGCAGCGCCCAGAGCCTGGGGAACAACTGATAACCATTTAAAAGTTGGTCATCAAAAACAAATCAAAGCTTCCTGGGATGCCAGGTCTAATCTGACTCAGAAGTTTAGGCAAAATTTACAATAAATATATTACCTATGTAGGAAATTATTCAATATAACATTGTTTGACCAGTTTCCTGTGTCACAGTTACTTTGGGTGTGTGTGTGTATGTATTATATATATATATATATATATATATATTATATATATATAATCTGGAATTAACCTGTATAGTAATTCTGATGTATGCTGATTTACCCCCCAGTATAGTCACATGATACATCAAATTCTGTTAATTTGCTATATCCTAATACTTTCTTAAATTTGGGTTGGCTTCAAGAGTGAGAAATTGTTCTGGCTGGTTCAGGCAGAGAACTGAGGTAGCTAGACAAGATTCTGAAATGAAAACACCGATTATTCATTATTCAATTACACCTTCTTTTAAATAACATGTGAATGCAAATAACACAGTGCCCAAAATCATTGCCAAAAATGTGCCTGTGTGTTTTAAGGCCCAGAGGAGTGGAACTTACAAAATAGTTTAACCTGCAATTTTGTAACAGCTCATACTTTTAGCACCACTGGCTGCCTAAGAACATCCTTCTCTGTTATTATCTTTTGTGTGTAGGCAAGTAAGGTAACAAGGCCCCTTCATATCAATAGGATAAATATAGGGAAGGACAAAAGTTATAGGGAGGTAGATCAGGACACTAGGAAATCTCTTCCAACTTCTGACTTCAGACTGTGACTTTGTAAAGATGGTGCTGATGGTGTGCATTAGTTGGTGTTTGACTCTGTATCAGGGCAGATCATGGTACTTTGGGGCTCGATCTGGTCACAAAACTCAAGCTAGAGGATGACAGTTAGACAGATGTGGTCAGATTTGCAGGCTTTATTTCCTTACCCCCCCCCAATCTTTTGAACCCCTAGCTTTTTTAGTCTTTTTCTTAAGTGAAATATTTCTTGAACTGTATTTGTAGAATGCAGTTGGGTATAGAATGACAGTGGGAAAGGACAAGAGAAACAGTGTCTTGCTTACATAAATATAGCCTTCCAAGAATCACCTAGTGACTTTAATTAAAAATTGGAAAACTGTTTCCCTGGTTTCCCTGGTTTGGCTCGGCGGTTAGAGCATCTGCCCATGGACCAGGACCAACGGTTGGAGCGTTTGATTCCCAGGCAAGAGCATGCACCTGGGTTGCAGGTTCGATTCCGCAGCCCCGGCCCAATTGATATGTGTCTGTCACATTGATGTTCCCCCCTCCCTCCCTTTCACTCTATCTAAAAATCAGTGGAAATATATCCTCGGGTGAGGATTAACAACAACAACAAAAACTTGGAAGAATGTATATATTTTGAGCTAGTTGGCCTTTCCTTTGGGAGGTTCTTTGTAAACATCAAAGTATTTCCTGTACTATGTTAAAGCTATAGTTAAACTATAGACTAAACTATAAGTTAAAACTAAGTTCATCGGAGAAACACAAGTCCCTGCCTTCAAGAAGTTTCACTGATGGGAGAAAGATAGGCATGTTTACAGATATTTTCAGTATCAGATAGTGCAATTGGAATTATCTGATAGTGTGATCTTACATGGTAGAGAAAAGGAGAGGTTCACTTAAAGTTAAGAACTGAGAAAAGTTTTGTAGTGGGTGTAGCATCTGAGCGGGGACTTGAGGAAGGAAGAGGATTTCCTCAAAGGAATGGAAGCCTGCTTGAACAAGTACAGAGGTATGGACATCTGGTGTGTTAGTTGGAAGGGCAGGTTGGAAGGGCTAGAGCCTGGAATTTAAGGTAGATAGGATGGAGCTACATTATGGAGAACATGACAAGCCATGCTAAGAAATTAAAATGTCATTGAACATTATTATTATATTTACACCGATAATGTGGGCACTCTTAACTGTAGTTCATAACTTGAAGCTCAATTTTGTGAGCTTCCCCCTAAAATAAGTAAATGAACAAAATTTCAGCAGTATTTGCTTCCTATTAATATTACTGTAAAAGAGGAATGTGTTCTGAATAGCCTTCAATTTTTGGGGAGTGCTCAGCTCAGGCCAAATCTGATCTCTAGAAGTGATGTATGGTGATGTTAGTTTTCCAGAAGAAATGGCCCATTATTTAAATCTAATTTTTATTAAAATCTAGTTCCCCTGCCCCCTAAAATCTGCAATCTTATGGTATAACAACTCTTAGTTTGATTAAAACTTTGGATAGGAAAATACCTCTACTTCCCTGGGCCAATATGCAGAGTAATTCCACTTTCTATTTTCTGTTTCAATTGCTAGTAGTAATAATAATAATATAATCATTATAAATGTTTATCAAACATGATATGTCTAGTGAGCCATCACAGCTTATTTTATGTATGGAGGCATAACTTTTATCTTAGACTGAGAATTTCAATAAGGTTACTAAGCTAAGTAAATGTTGGGACCAGGATTTGAACCCAAGAAGTCAGTCTTGACACTCTATCCTTTGAATAATACATAATACATGATAACTATTATTATTATTATTATTATTATTTTAACTCTCACCTGAGGTTATATTTCCATTGATTTGCAGATAGAGTGAGAGAGAGGGGAAGAGAGGGAGGGAGAGAGAGGGAAACATCTGTGTGAGAAAGACACACTGATTGGTTACTTCCCGCATGACCCCAGGGCTGGGGATCCAACTGCAACTTAGGTACATGCTCTTGACTGGAATTGAACCTGCAACTCTTTGGTCTGCGGGCCGTCACTCTAACTGCTGAGTCAAACTGGCCAGGGCATGATGACTATTATTAATAGTAGTTAGAAATTGGGCATGCTACATGTAAGAGGAATATTTCTCTGTGTTTTTCTTTGCATCCTTATTCCCATCATTCTGCCTATTTTATTTTGTGTTGTTTTTAATTGAGATATAATTGACATATGACATTTTATTACTTTTAGGTGTAAAAAATAATGATTCCACACATATACACACACACACACACACACACACATTAATATAATATAATAAATATAATATAATATAATATAATATAATATGTGTGTGTGTATATATATATATAAATGTTTACTGCAATAAGCTTAGTTAATATCCATCACCACACGCAGTTATAAATTATTTTTTATGAGAACTTTTAAGATTTGTTCTCTTGGCAGTTTTCGTATACATGACACGGTATGTTAACTCTAGTCATCATGCTGTACCTTACACATCGTTCTGATTAATTTTACTTTACACAATTGTATATATATATATATATATATTTTTTTTTTTTTAATCCTCACCCGAGGATATTTTTCCATTTTTTGTACAGATAGAGTGGGAGGGAGAGAGAGGAAGGGAGAGAGAGAGAGAAACATCGACGTGAAGGGACACATCGAGTGGCTGCCACCCGCACGACCAACCAGGGCCGGGGACAAACTTGCAACCGAAGTACGTGCCCTTAGCGGGAACCGAACCCGGGTCTCTCCAGACCGCAGGCCGACGCTCTAACCGCTGAGCCAAACTGGCCAGGGCCACAATTGTATATTTTAATGTCTTAACACATCTTCAAACTACTCAAAAGAAACTCTTAAGCTCTTTGAGAAAAGTTGGGATGTGGAGTCCTGGCAGGTTTGGCTCAGCGGTTAGAGTGTCAGCCTGCGGACCACAGAGTCGTGAGTTTGATTCCAGTCAAGGGCACTTGCCCTGGTTGCGGTTTGTCCCTGTCCTGTGTGCAGATGGCATCTGATGGATGTGTCCCTATCACATTGATGTTTCTCTCTCCTTCTCTCTCTCCCTCCCACTCTATCTGAAAATCAATGGAAAAATCTCCTCCAGTGAGGATTTTAAAAAAATTAAAAACAAACAAACAACAAAGATTGGACATGAGATAGGAAAAACATTATTGAATGTGACAGCATTAAAGATAAGGACCAGACCTGCCAGATTCTCTGGAAGAGCGTCAATTTTAAAGTCTTCTCATGGTTCAACAAGCCCCCAATTTGCACTGGACCTTTTCGTATTTTGCATTTCATATATGTTGCCATGTGTCTTGATTTTTATTCTGAAAGTAATTCTAGCAAATATATACTAGTTTGCATATGACCTACTAAGGTATGTATTCTGACAACTGATTGGACACCACATTATCATGTACAAATCATGCAAATCATATCAAACAAAATAACACACCAGTTTAGATAGTATCATCCTAGATTTCTTTGCCAAAACACTACTATTTGAGCCAAGCTTTGTGGGAGATGGGTGTGTGGAGC